GCACAGAAGTCACTGGTCCTTTATTATTATTTTTTATTAGATTTTTATTTACTATAGGAAACTCCTAAGATCTGGAATAAATACACAAAACTCACCAAGATCCATGAATCAGTACTTTTATTTAAGATCATATTTGCTTATACCGAAGTTCAGTTTCAGTGCTACACATTTCTAACCACTAGATATCACTAGAACACCCTTGTGGGTTAGCAGCTCAATTGCAGCGCAGACAGCATTTAAAATATGCAGCAACAATAGCAAGCAATCAGAATTTACTGCAATGGAAGATAAAACTATTGTTTGAGTAGAAATGGGAAAATCACTTTCTGTTTCAAACTCTTATAGAAAAAATGACTTTAAAGTGTTTTTCAACTTTTGCAGCCACATTGGCATACCATCTATGTTTATATTTGTTACCTGTTCCCATTTGCACAGCATAACTTTAAAATCATATTTGAAAATTGCTGCTCACTTTTTTAGGTGCACTTTTCTGGAAACTCCAAGACCGAAAAAAAACATTCTCACTTCCATGCAATATTTATGGGGGTGCTAGGGAGTTGTGTTTGCCAAAATGATCCCTGTCTGTACTGTGCTGGTAGATCTCATTGTCCATCCATTGCTAACTAGATGTAAGCTTAAGCTGGCCATACACTGTAATATTTTCTTCATATAACCTGCGGGCTAAACAAAGAAAATATAACCGATTACTCCCTCAATGCTTATGAGTGTTGATCGAGGAATCTCCCGCTGTCTTCATTGTATTCTGATGGCGGCTGCCAGCCAACTGTCAGAGTACTCAAAAAAAGCCGGCAGCTCATTGGCTGCCTGCTTCGTATGTTCCAATATTTTCCAACCAGTTCCTTAGATCCGCTGATTGAGGGTCGCCAGCCAAAATTTGCATTGTGGGTGCCACATAGTGGGTGCCACTGCCCTCAATCAGTGGATCTAAGGAACTGGTTGGAAAATATTGGAACAAACCAAGTAGGCAGCCAATGAGCTTCCGGCTTCGTTCGAGTACTCTGACACTGGCTGGCAGCCGCCATCAGAATACAATGAAGACAGCGGGAGATTCCTCGATCAACACTCATAAGCATTGAGGGAGTAATCGGTTATATTTTCTTTGTTTGGCCCGCAGGTTAATCAAGAAATTGAAATTGAATAAGAAATTTGCATAGTGTATGAGGAGCCTAATGATTAGTCAAAGATCTCATAGCAATGCATATTACTGCACTGTCTCTCAGTCTGTCCCTTATCTCCACTCTGCCATCTTTTCAAAGCTGCCCACAGAGTCCTATTTATAATCCTGTTCAAGGAAATAACTAAAAAGATAAGAAATGTCTTGTCTGTATATTTGATCATGGTGTGTGAATCATATTGCATTCTTTAGCCCGTGGCGTTAAGCATGGAAGAGACTTGTCCGAGGGGCACACACTGTAATTAAATTTAGTCGCTAAGGATCAAAAAAGTGCTGTCAAATGACAGCCAACAGGAACAAAACAGTTGTCTTGTACCAGTCTCCGTTCTGCCCTAACATTGACTAGTCGCTGACGGCCACATTTCGCACGTTCAGACTCAGATTTTCGGCTGACAGTCCAGTCTTTAAACACTTTACCAATGAGCCCCTCTTGAACATTTAACGAATTCTGCTATTTTGCTGATACTCGCTCCAATCATCGCACGTTCAAAGGCTGTTAAATCGCGTTGTTTCCCCGCATCTTCAGAAAACAAATCACTTCTACTGTCGTGGTAAACAACCCGCTTCCCTATTTATAATGGTCTGGCCCTCTAGCAACTTCAGAGCGAAATTATAGCTAATTATAGCTAATTAGTTAGTATTAACTCTCAAGCAACAACCCCCCTCCCCATTCATCTGCTGGCTAGAGTCTGCTATTGGCTACTTCATAGCCGATAGCAGGCTGGCTATGGCACACTTCCACTGCTTGCTGTTTACATTCACCTGCCAGCTGAGGAATCTAGCCGTCAGCCGCAGCAAGATGCAAATAGAGAATTTTTTTTGCAACTAAATACATTTTGTTGCTAACAAAACATTTTAGCGTCACATGTCTATTAAGCAACTTAATAACTTAGTAACAACGCTCTACCCTTCCACTCTGGCTGTGATGTGTTCCTCGACATCCTCACATCTATTGCAAATGAATGGGCCTGCATTAGACGTGATGACATCAGCTGAGCATAGACCACCAGTGCCCAGTGAAGAAGAGGCTGGTAGGACCAGTATGACAGCCTGGAGGGATCGAGGATCAGGTAAATATATCTACTTGTTCCAGCCCCTAGATCAAAATGAGCTGTTAACCCTTGCATTGTGGTGGTAGCCCCACTGCAAGGGTTAATTTTGTTAATTCCTGGAGTTCCTCTTTAAAACTGACTGTTAAAATATTTGCAATATCACAATACTCAAAATCAGTCTTGTAAAGTATCCCAACAAAGCCCAGAGTAACTGTATTGTCTTATGACCTAAGACATGGACGCACGCCAACACTTCCAGTCATTGTGCAGGAAAACATTTGTATCAAAAACATTACAATAACGATAGTGGCCTAGGTTTAGTTAAATATTGTTACTGCTGATGACGTCCTCCCATTGTGATAAAAAAAAGGGAAAGTTTAGTGCTTTTTGGTCAATTTTATGTTATCATTGTTTTGAAAGTCTACACGTTTATTAAATCGAGTTTATAAATTTATATTTCATGTAATTTTTTTTTACTTGCCTCTAAAAAGTCCATAGCTAACTAATAAAAATGTAATTCACGTTAGTAGGTCCCATACTGGAAGCAGCCAGGGCAATAATACCTCGGCATTGGAGGACACCTAATGTTCCTCAGATTCGGGAATGGGTTAGTGAACTAAACAATATAATGAGAATAGAGGAGCTTATAGGCCACCTACATAATAGATACACCCGGTTTGAGGAGAGGTGGAGACCATGTATAGGTTTCTCAAGTTTATCGGAGATACAAGAGCATCTGTAGTAGATAGAGACCCAGATTTCAGATTTAAATACCCAGGCCCTGTATGTATGAAAAACTAAGCAAGTGAGTACACTTAAAGACTTATTCACAAAGCTGCCGAGTGATTAACCGAGCCAACGTTCGGCTATTCACTACGGCTCAGTTTGTACAGCGGCTGAAATCATCCGTAGATTGGCTGTCTTCGGCTGCACTTCGGTCAGCCGAACATGCTCTGCATGTTTAGCTGAGCCGAAGTGCAGAAGGACTTCGGCTCAGCCAATCCAACATCTGGATCGGCTGAGCCGAAGCTCCGGCAGCTCACTCGCTGCCATTCGGACCTATTCACATAGGGGCTGAACAGTAGTGAGTGAATATCCAAATGCCGCCGGCTATTCAGCTCGGCTATTCTGCTTGGTAACTCCGTGGTA